CCGTTATAGCTGCAGAGGCGGGCAACTCCATATTAAAGCCCATGGTTTTGGAATGGGATGTCCAACAAGCTCATATTAGGTGAGATTTGATTAGATTCAACTTCATTGTCATTGTGCAGAGTAAAGGGACAGAGCCAATGAAATGCAGTTAGCATCTAACCAGAAGTGCAAAATACAATATTATTTACATAAATAAAGTGCAGAAAGACAGTATAGTGGTTAAAAATATATAAATATGCAAGTATGAATATAACATACATATAAACACAGTGAGTGGAGAGCGTACAGTGAGGTAATATGTCCTATGAGGTAGTATGTCCTGTGGGAGGAGCATGTAATGTATGTAAAAGTATGCAGAGTAAACTTAACTGAACAGTAATTGTTGGTGCAAATATGAATAATTCAGTAATAGACTGTGCAAATATGAATAGTGCAATATATGTGTGATGTGTCCACATACTTTTGGCCACATGGTGTATCTATATGCTTTAGCTTTTCTGGTATGATTTGACTTTTGTATCTCATTTTCCTTATTTTATTTTAGATTTTTAAATGTTATGTACTACAACTTCTTGTTCTTCCACCTCATTATTATCTTTTTTTTATACTTACCCAAACCATGCCAGCAAATTGCCCCCTACACACGGTTGGATGATGATCTTGTGAGGCTCTTTAAAGGCCCCCAAACTCAAAAATCAAGAATATGTTCCTGTTAATGTGTATTTTGAGAAATGCACATTTGTTTCTTTTTGTCTGGAAAATGAATACAATTCTCCTTATTAATGTGCAATATCCCATTTTGTTTAGATAATAACAATTTGTGCTTTTCACATTAGGTTTGTATGTCTAAAATCAAACTTTATTTTCATTTACATCAGATTTCTTTCATTTATGTCTTGTTTTATTTTACGACAATTCATTCAGTTTGTTTGTACATTTATACTGGATTGTCCTTAGTATTTGGCCAACCCAGGCCTTGTGGTCTGAGGCCCCTGGCAGTCAGAGGCTCCTGGGCACTGGCCCCACTAGCCTGGTCAGTAAAACCCATGCCTGCTCCTGCAGAATAACAGAGCCACTGCTGTAGGGGTCATTCAGGCCTGTACTGTTCTCTTGCTGTACGCTGCACATGCACTCTCCCACTTGTGGAGAATATGGTGAAGAATGACTCATCTGACCAAATCGCTGTTTCCACATTGCTGTAGACCCTGAGCTGATGGTTTTAACTCCACTGAACTCTCAGATGGTCATTCTTCTTTGTGATGTGGGGTTTGTGCACTGCAGCCCTCCTATAAAATCCCTCTCTGTGTAGTTCTTCTGTTTTGTCCTTACATAGTGCACTAATGCATGAGCATCACTCTCACTTCATGTGCTCTTTCAATGAGTGACTTAAATAGGAAAAACGTCCCTTTTTCCCCAAAAATGAGAGGCTTAAAGTGGAATTCCACTGATTTTTCAACATTTCTGCATGATTAAATAGTTTAAACGTAAACAGAGTCATTCAGAGTGGTTTGGTGTGAAATGCTCTGTTCTAGAGAAACTTACCGAGTGCTCTTCACTATGGATGATGATGGCCACCCACTGCGCACCATCAGCATGGATAAGAGGAGCATGTTTAGTGGCAGGTTGCTGTCACAGAGCTGCTCAACCGACAGACTCAGGAGATCCTTTGTCCCTAGAGCCATCAGGGGAAGAGGAGAGATGAGGACTGAATCTCTCAGGCTAAATTACAGGTTTATTTTATCTATCTACACATATGGACACCTTACTGTACATATTGCACTTCTGCACACCTTATTGCACATCTGGACACTCCACACCTGGATACTTTATTTCAGTACCAATATCTGCACATATTTATTCAGTGTTGTCATTATATGCTGTTACCTGCTGATACCTCCTTGGACATCATTATTGCACTGCCTTTTTATCATAGGAGAGATCTTATTGCAGATTTTTGTATATTTCTAGTTGTATATATGACTGTAGATGGGTTTTTTGTATATATTCTTCTTTTTATATTGTATCACCCTTATTATTATAACTGTCCTGTGTTGTGTGACTGATACTGGCTGCTAAATTTCCAGATCAATAAAGTATCTATCTATCTATCTATCTATCTATCTATCTATCTATCTATCTATCTATCTATCTAAATGCTCTCCATTAATATTTATACATCTCCGTCTGTTGTGGGTTATGAGTCAGGATCTTCATCCACTGACAGTCTGTCAGTTTCTGGTCTTTTCTGAGAGAAGCTGCTGAGATAAATCAGCCCACACTGCCACCTGTGGGTGATTTTGTGTGTAATATTCTTCTCCATGTGGAGGTGAAAGACTGTGCTGCCCTAATTCAGCCAGAAGAGGGCGCTCTCTGTTCACGTCTCAGCAGAATGGACTTTTCTTGCACCACACTGGCAGGGATGGGTTACTGACCAGGCCAGTGGGGCCAGAAATTGTGAGAGAAAAGTGCATTTCAGTCTACTTTTCAAGTGCAGTTTATACTTTAATACAAACTGAATGTATTATTTTGGAACAAACTATTCGAAGAGTATGTAAACTGTAATAAAGCTATGATTAAATATATATTGAACGCATTTAGCTTTTTCAAACAACTTAAGTTGCAATTATATTACACACATAATATAATATTAATATACCAATGGATGTACTGATACACTTCTGTGCTACTTATTGAGTTATAAATGCTCATAAATATGCATTCTGAATTTTAAACTGTAAAATCATAAAATATTTCCATATTAATTAATATACTTAAATACAATCAGCAAACAAAATGTGTATTTTATACTTAAGTACGCTTATCTAAAAGATAATGAATTGTACACTTATATAGTATAAATCATTTAGAATAACTAAGCACAAATTATATATACTAAGAGTATAATAGCTTATTTATAATAACAATAAGTACTGTTGAGATACATCTAGGCCTACAAGTGCTGTTTTATATTGGCACAACATATGTCGCAATGAAGTTAACTTACGCAATTGTTAAGACGTATTTTAAATGTCTACTCTTGAGTGCACTGATACCCATATTTAGTTGCTAGTTATGTTGAGTTGTGTTGCATCTAAAATGTATTAAAGCATACATTAGAAGTCATTGTTTTAAAATTTGCTTCTAAACATTACACTTATGTTGGCAACAATTAAATAAACTTTGGTTTAAGTATGCTTCAGTATGTGAGGAAAAAAATACCGAAGTTTATTATAAGTTTATAGAAAGTATATTTACTTTAAAAATATGCTTTTTCAAAAGAATACAGAAAAGTATATTTTAGGTGAATTTCCATAAAATAAACGAAATTGTAAAAATATATGTTTAGTTCTCTCTATATGCTTATGTATACCAATGATGTACTTAAGTATGTTTTTTTTGCAAGACAGTGTCCACTGGCAGGGGTCTCAGGGGGCTTCAAACCACAATGCCCTATTATGATCTACATAATATTTAGAATAATATTTTAGGAATACTGTTAAAAAACATATATATATATATATATATATATATATATATATATATATATATATATATATACACACACACACATATATATATATATATATATATATATATATATATACACACACACATATATATATATATATATATATATATATACGTAAATGAAGATAGATAGATAGATAGTACTGCGTTCACTGGAGTGATGGATCTCCATCCAATACCTTTGGGATGAGTTGAAGTGATCTAGAACTGTCCATTCAACATCATTACCTGACCTCACTAATGCTCAATCAAATCCTCACAGCCATGTTCCAACATCTAGTGTAAAGCATTCCCAGAAGATGCTGTTATTGCAGCAAAGAAGAATAAACTCTTGTTTAAAGGGAAATGTCCCTATTTTATCAAAACATTCACATAATTCAAGTGTTAATATGTAAATAAAGTCATTCAGAGTGGTCTGATGTGAAAGGCACCACTCTGGAGAAACCTATCGACTTAGATTTCTTTACAGTGCTGGTGATGGTAACCAGACATCCAAAGGATGTAGCACCTCTAAGTTCCCTCACTGAACACTATTATATGAAATTGTTATGGTCATTATCTGTCACTACATGACCATAGTGGGTTTGTTGGAAAGTCGTTCAATTGTAAACTTTCATATTCTTATTCTGTATATCAGAATAGTCGTACTGTCTCTAAAGGCCTAAATCTCTTTCTCCTCAAAAGAGCATGACTCCGTCTACTTTATTATCAATAATTTCTACAACGACTCCATTGATCAACATTATGCTACCTGATAACACTATTTACTGTAGTTTTGAGAGGTTTTGGTCAAATACATATTGTTTACAGTACTTTCAAAGCAGAGATACATAAGCTAAGGGTGCCCAGTCCTGGTCCTGGAGATCTACCACTTAGGAGAATTCAGATACCACACACCCCGACCTAATAATCAGATGCCCCTGATGGCCTTCATTACGTGGATCAGGTGTGTTAGATTAGGGCTAGAGATCTAAAGGACCAGGATTGGGCACTGCTAATGTAGGAATACATGAGTTATAAAGTAAAGATCTATCAATCTATCTATCTATCTATCTATCTATCTATCTATCTATCTATCTATCTGTCTTATTTTACCATTATCAGCATCACATACAAAAACTCAGAAGACTCGTGTAGGTTCACTGGAGGTTTTGCATAGTAAATAAAGTGGCTATATTTGTGTTGTAGACATGGAGACTCCTGGTTCCTATCACCACCACTGTAAAGAAATGAGAGTCAGTACGTTTCTCTGCAGCGAACCATTTCACATCAAACCACTCTAAATGACTTTGTTTACATCGCAGTGATGGAATTATAGGCCTATATAGGCCTATTTTTGAAAAAACGGTGGACTTCCCCTGTAATATGGACGGATGTTGTCATTGAAAGAGTGTACGCCACTGTTCCTCCTCCGTCCTGCAGGTGTCGCCCCAGCAGCGGGAAAAATTAAACTAGAAAGTCCTGAACCCCGCGCTGAGTGGAAACTCAGAGAGTTTATACAGAGAGTGATGAAGTGATCACACTCACTCTCTCTCTTTAACTCCGGAGGGGCTATAAAACATGTCTGGGTCCTCTACCGCTTTTTATCTGTCAGAGTAAACACTCATCATCTTTTCTACCGTTCAAGTGGATCTTCTGGAGCTTTTTATGCGATAAAAATGAAAGAACAAACTCGGGGTCGCTGAGTTAGCCGCCGAGCTAACAGTCGGTTCCACCGTTTGGCTTAAAAAGTGTCGGCGTTTCTTGGACTTTCCTGGTGGAACATTTTAGCAGATTTCTCCAATGAGACGTTTTTAGATCAGCAAGGAGATTATCCCAAAAATAAGGTGAGTCGATAAGCTCTTCATATTCTACAATGCCACTTGTTGGACCTTGCCAGCTTTTTTTTAATTTCCCGAGTTTGTGTAACGAAGCTGAGGGAAGTCGGAGCTTTTGTCCGGGCTGCTGTTAACCTAGCTTAGCTACTTAGCTAAAGATTATCTCACATTATCTCTTTTACAAAAAAAGAAAAGACTGTTTGTTATCATTTTAACTACGTTTGGGGGAAGATGCCAACCTGAAAGTAGTATTTAGCTTGTTTCACGCTAAACTGAAGTCAGCATGTTCGAATTTTCCCGTTCCACCTTAAATGGTGCAGCCGTTATAACTGCTCAGAATGGAGCTGCCGCACCGTTTAAGGTGGAACGGGAGAATTCGAACAAGAAGCTGGCGAATAGGAAGCAAACATGGTTTGTTTCCCCTCCTGTTAAAGTAAATAAGGCTTTTGTCTTACAAATTAGCGAGTATTGTGAGTTGGTCATTGTTCGCTGAGGCTGTTGTTTTTGTACACGTTCACATCTGCATTGTGTTCCATTATAACCCATAGTAGTTACTTCTTATGTTGTGTGTCCGCTGGATAGACCGGATTATCTCTTTTTTTTTTTTTGGCTTGGTAAAAGTTTGTCCTGTTTAGCAGACTCAGCTTTGCTCTGCCCGGCCTTCCACAGGTTGCATTTGATTTTCTCAGCCCTCTCTCTTCCCTTTCTTTGCTTTCTAACATCATTAGGTCTGTCATGTTGTACTGCAGGCCGGCCGGCCTTCCTTGCAACTGCAGCCATTGTGTGGCATTGAAAAAAAATCTGGAGTTTTTATTTTTTTTAGATTTTTTTTTCGATCAGAACTCGGTTTATTCCACATCTGACCCACTAAAATCCTCCTGCTGCATTTGTGAGTAATGTCTGAGTGCAGCCATGGAAAAACAGGATCACCGAAAGAGAGAAGAAGGAAATGAGAGAAGAAATGCTGGCATGTCAATACATACAAACTTAAAAAAGCTGGTTTGTCTAGCGTTCTGTAAAGAACCATTTCATGCTTATATGGTTCCTTGCACAGTGAAATGCTTCTTTAGATTGACATACACGATACATATGATTAGATATGGTTCTGTGTGGCACCAGAAAGGGTTCTGCTATTGTTACGATATCAAGCTTGTAAGAATATAAGAGCCCTGTTTGGTGCTAAATTTAACTGTGTTCAAAAAAGTTCAACACAGAACCATGTACAACACGTTCTTCGTCAATCTGAAGAACTATTTTACCATGCAAGAACCTATTTTAGCATGGTTCTGTGTAGAACTCATGGTTGTAAATAGAATGCTTGCCTTCACTAAAGACTCTTTGAAGAACCATCTTGGTGTGTATTCAGATTTTTATAGACTATATAGATTTTTTTCTTTTGCATTTAAGTTTTTGTTGATGCGTCCGTCAGTGAGTATGTTTACATGCACTCAATAATCCGATAACTGCAGAAAATGAGAATTTGTCAGTAATCCAATCAACGCATTTACATGCACTTGAGTGATCAGATCATGGGGAAACTCCAGGTCTACATGAGTCAGGCAGTAATCAGATTTCTGCTTTGCAATCAGCCAATAGACTCGCAGAAGACGACGCGACTTAAACGTAACGTAAAACTCAAACTTCATGACGCTGTTTTTTTAAAGCATAACGCTGCTTTACCTGAAAATATGAACTTACATCATCTAGAAGATGAAGAATATTTAAATCCTTTATTTCGTGTTTGGTTTCAGCGCCGCTCCAACAGTGTTTTGCTGTGTCTTGCGACATCCACCGTCTGATCTCACGCATGCACAGACTGAGAAATCCGATAGAAATCAGAGTAAGAGTTTACATGCACTGAGAAATCTGATTACTGAGCTAAAATCTAGCCTCTTTATCAGATTTCTTAATCGGATTCCTAGATCGGAGTATGGTGTTCACATGACCATTTGAATAATCGGATAACTGCAGAAATCCAATTATGATCAGACTGTTGAGTGCATGTAAACGCACTCAGTAAGAGCAGTCTCCAGCGCTTGCAGGATTGGATCACTGAGAGTTTGTTTTCTGGCATTGGAGCTACGTGGCTAACTTGGCTAACATGCAGTCTAATCCTTTTGTTTGACTGTTCAGGGGTGCACTGATGAGGGAACTCAGATGCCAGCGTCTGATTATTTTCCGTATACAAGTCTGCCGATACGTATGTTACAAATATCAGATATTCATATCGGCCCAGAATCTACCTGGATTAGCATTAAATAAATATCGTTTGTTTTGTAGAGGGTTACATATGCAGCAAAATGAATCTAATGCAGACGTTTTAACGGAGCTCCTACTGAAAAACTGTAGTGCGCTCAGTTTTTGTAATTAAAAAATATATAAGTAATACAAATAATTCGCTGCTAAAGGGTTCTACATCTACACCTAAACGTTCTGCTCTTCTGGAGTACGAAACATCAGTCATTGTTCTGCAACATTGATCTAAATCTTATCGGTTCAGAGCAATGATCTGCCAATATTGATATGACTCTGAAATCACTGTGGCTGCATGTTCTATTATCCTCATAGCTCCTGTGCTAAGCTTCAGACACCAGACGTGTCTTGGCCAATAGACCACGTTTGACAATAGTGTAGTCTTGTTTTGTTCGGCCACCCCTTCCTTTAAATGGGTTAAATCCACGGACCTGACCGGCGCTGTACAGTTCATTGTCCCGAATATCCTCTCTTCCGCACAGTCTACTACAAAGGCAAAGTGGGGTCATGCTTTGGAGTCGTTCCCCATGACGCAAGCTGGCGATGACCGTGGACTTTCATGAGGCAATGACAGGAAATTAATTTACGCTGTGGAATAGAGCTGCTGCAGGCATGGTAAATCCCTTATTGGCTGGAATGTATAAATGTATTCAGTTGTGCAGGACATGAAGCACAGTGGACTGTTCACAAAGTGCTTTTTGTTAGCTGGAGGGGGGAAAAAAGGAGTTGTAGTTGATCGCAGAGAGCGGTAGTGGGTTGAAAAATGTGAGGTTGATGGAGATACGGTTCACTTTGTGCATATCGATGCTGTCCAAACAAAACTTGTCTCCAGAATGGTGACTTTACAGGAGGGGACAGAAATGTCCTTAGTTTGTAATGTAAGTTGATGTAACGTGAATTTATTGCAAGCAATTTTGGAGCAATTCTATTGGTCTGTCCATCATGAAATGCAAATTAAAATCACAAAAAAAAATATTTCACTGCTAAAATGTTTGCTTGGGCTTTTATAATATTAAATGTCCCATATAATGAAAAATTAAATGAAGACTTGTCGTTTGCAAACATTAAAACGTCATACAGTCCATGTATAGAAATTAAGCTCCGCCCATTCACACTGATGTTATAAGGAGTGTTTCAGCCTGCACAGCATTTTGAACCAGGCACAATACAGGACAGCCAGTCAGAGCTCATTTGCATATATCAATCTTAAAGGCACAGCAACAAAACAGTCTGTTTCGTTCTAAAGCATAAAGAGGTGTTGAATCAAACCGTTCCTTCAGAGGTTGGAAAATTGTAGTGCAAATATGAATTATGGCTGTTTTTTGGGATGAAAAACTGCATAAACATCAAAAATAGGCCTCAGGGGACAAAATAAAATACCAGAAGAATGTAGCATGTGTGTTTCCAGCACTTTGCTGTGCTGCATGTTGTAACTACACAGGCTGGAAATGGCAACAGGTTTGTCGCTGTGCTAACATTAACTTGATTACGTGACACAAAAACTGTATCTGCTCTGTCCTACAGGCTGAGCTTTTACAGGTTTACGAAACAAGTCATATGACATTGGGATGCACTCTAAAGCTGCGTATTGTGATAAACACTGAGTTGTGTTTATTAGCTTGAAATTAAAACCCCACTGTAAGGTATTGAAATGGGAAAACCCCGTTCAAGCTAATAAACACAGCTCATTCTGGCCTCAGCATAACATTCAGTACCTTTTTTGTACAAACCACTAACCTTTAAACTTCTAAACTCAGATATTCCATATGTAAATAAGCCAAGTATGAGTTGAGGCCTGAATAAGTTGTTGGGGGTTTTCCCAATTCAGAACAGTGGGCTCTTAATTTTTCACACCTTTTGATCCAGCAGAAGTAAGGAATGGCTGAAAATGTGTCTCAGATTAATGTTCCTGTTTTCGGTTGATTAGTGCATTCAACGTTGTAAAGTATTTGAAGCAAAAGTGTCCCAATCTAGTGCTCTAGCCATAAGCTAACATGCTAGTCACGATCCTAGTACACTGTTAGAAATAAAGGTTCTCTGCAGGTACATTTCTCGTTCATCAAGGTACAAACAATGTAGATGTTCCCTCAAAGGTACAACAGTGGTTTTAAGGTCTGATTGTGAACCTTAAATAAGTTTTTCCAGGTGAAAAGTTCGTATTTGTACCTTTTATAACCGAACGTTTTAAAACAGAACAGTAAAATAAAAGCCTGGAGGCGAGACGGGGTGTGTGGAGTCAGTACAGCTTAGAACATATCATTTCAGTGGATTATGGTTCAGTTATGTTCCCTGGCTAAAGGTACTGAGATGGACCCCTTGAGGATCCCACCCTGGTGACAGTTTAGTACACTTTTTTTCTGAGAGTGTAGCTACAAAAGAACCCGTTTTTAAGCGTGAATTTTCTTTTTTATAACTCAGAAACTAACTATCAAACCTGAAGACCTGCAGATCCACAAAGGTTGTTGCTGCTGAGCTTCCAAAATCTGCAAAATGTTCATTTTCGTCCCGAAGACTATTGGTGCATTTTTTTTTCTTTTTAAAACTGTGGTGAAGAGAAGCCTCTAATCCAGAAGTGCCCGAAGCGTCTGACACGGATGCTGGAGGGTGTGTCGTTTGCGGAAAGAAAAAAGCCTTCAATTCTGCATCAAATAACCGGCCAGGCTTTGCGGTGTGGATTTCAGATGATGCAAATGTGGTAGAGATGTACGGAAATTGTTTAAGTTGAGACTTAACCCTCGAAAGTTAACATACCAAGG